TTTTTGTATAAATTAAAAACGTTGTGGAGCAGCTGGAGTCAGAGCTTCAGTCCTGGAGAGCCGCGTGACCCGCTGATCTCTGCGAGGTCGTCCTCCGAAGGCTTCGGCTGCGACCGAATGAAGGCCCTGCTGGAGGAGACGAGGCTGCGCCGCTCCGAACAAGATCCTTCAGTTCAGCGGACGATCAGATCGCCATAAAATGAATCGAATCAAACGAGAAACTGATTCTTTTATGGAAAGCCATCGTCATCCTCGATGATGTTCTGTGAGCCGACACCTGCGGGAAAAACTCATTCATCGCTCGATTTCTTTTACTGTTTTATGAAAGGACAACCTGTTCCTTTCCTTCGTTGCCTGTTAAAGATGGCTGCCGCAGCTAACTGACCTGAATAAACAGCTAAACTTTACTGAGCTAAACTTGGCCTGGTGGTTTGCTGAGAGTCAATCCCAACACGGACTCTGAGCACGAACGCATCACAGATGTTGTTGAAGGTCTCCGTCATGTTTGACATGAAATGAGCTTAAATGAAAAGGCGGCGGGTGACGTGCATTCATTTAGGAGTTCAAAGCCTTTAGCTATGTTTCAGTTGAATCCAGATACTTCTGTCCTTACTGGGTTTATGCTCCGACAACACCCCCCAGATCAGAGCTGTCCTCAGTGCCGGGAGAACTAGACCTTGAGTGAAGGAACTGGACGAGGACACGGGGAGACAAAACAAATCACTCAGGACAAATCCTCAGTCTGATTCTCAAGTGCCGCTGGGATTGTCCAGGTCCTAGGGGGGAAATCAGAGAGTCATTTGCCCGAGTGTCTCCCTGCATTAGCGCCTGTGTTGGTGGCCGAGGTGAGCTGCGGGGGGCCAGACAAAGGTGGACCCCGGCCCTGCTTCCTGTGCGCACTGGGACCAGGCGGGACGCGGCGTCTCGGCTGCCTGGCTTTGAGCTGACCCTCCGTCTGTGGCTGCACTTAACGCTCCAGATAACGCCGGGTTTATAGCAGGCGGCTGGTGACAGATGGGAACAAACTGCTGGACAAGGACTGGAGTTAGGGGGTCAGACTGGAGCTGGGGTTCATGGCTGGACATCTAGAAACTATTGGGGGTTAGGGGTTAGACAGTCCAGTTAGGAGGTGAGGTGGCATCACGACTACCCCAAGTACCCACCATGAGACCAGCTGGTCCAGATGTGCTAAATGCTTCAAACATTTTACTGACCACATCAACTCTGTGGATAAATACATCAAGTTCACACGAGAAGATGTAAAAAATGGCAGGTTGGCTTTCTTGGACTGTGAGGTCTCAGTCTCTGATAGAGGACATTTGCAAACTGAAGTGTACCGCAAGCCCACCCACACAGACCAGTATCTGCAGTTTGACTCCCATCACCCTTTGGAGCACAAGTTAGGAGTCATCAGGACTCTGTATCACAGAGCAGACAGCGTCCCCACTAGCTCAGGAGCCAGGCAGAAGGAGAAATCCCACACAAGACAGGCTCTAGAGCAATGTGGATATCCTAACTGGACCTTCCTGAAAGCAGAGAAGAAACTCAAACAGGACTCCAGTCAGCCAACAGGTGAAAAGGAGGAACCCAGACCCAGACCAGTGGTCATTCCATAGGTTGAGGGAGTATCAGTTAAATGTTTTACTGTTTTTATTAATGAGCTGTTATTTTTGTTTTATTTTAAGCCTTTTTTTATTGTTGTACAGCACTTTGTGATTGTATCTATGATAAGTGCTATACAAATAAAGTTTACTTACTTATCAGAGAAACTGAGACGTTTATTTTCTAAACATAACGTCCCAGTGGCTTTTAAACCCCAAAATACATTACGGCAAAGACTGGTTCATCCCAAAGATCCAGTCCCCCGGCACAAACAGAGCAATGTTGTGTATGTTGTTCAGTGTCAGGAGGGCGATCAGTCTTACATCGGGGAAACTAAACAGCCACTGGCCAAAAGGATGGACCAGCACAGAAGATCAACATCATCAGGCCAGGACTCTGCGGTCTACACTCATCTCCAGGCCAGCGGTCACTCTTTCAAGGATGAAGATGTTCACATCCTGGACAGAGAGGAACGATGGTTTGAGAGAGGAGTAAAGGAGGCCATCTTTGTGAAAAGAAACCGTCCATCATTAAACGGGGCGGAGCCTCCGTGTTCAACTGTCCCCCTCTTACAATGCTGTGATTGCTGGTATCACTCAGCCCTCTGTGAGTAGTAAACAGCCATCAGGGCACTAACGATCGATCGTTTGGCTGATGGTCCTTCTTGACCATGTGAACGACTTGTCTGTCACCTAAAAACTGGGTGACCCACTACGAGAAGGTGCCATTTATAAGTTTGTTGCAGCTTCCCAGACTGAAGAAGTCCTTTGGATAAAAGACGAACTGTTTCAGTGAAGAATACATCCAGAGGACCCGACCCGATTTTCACGAGCTGTCGTTTCTCAACATAAGATTATCCTCGTTTAAAACAATGACATGAAAGGTGGTGGGCGATATGCATTCCTTTAAGAACTGCATTAGTTTCCCATACATTTCAACAATCACGCTACAAAAATCAAACCGTACGGTTTTGAAGTTCTGTAAAACGACGCACTAGCTCACGCCTGAGTAATATATATATAAAAAAAGTTAATTAAATCCTGATTTTTGTCTCATTTGTTCAGCTGAGTCCTAAGATACATAAAAAACACTAAAGCTCACCCAGTATTCACAGAACTGAAGTGTTCAGAGCTCAGAGGTGGCGTTTCACGAGTAAAATCCACCTTTAACTGTTTCAAATACAGAACTCATAAAAATACAATCAACTCGAGGTGTGTGAAACTTATATTTAATACAATTATAAAGCATATTGCACAGGAGGTCCGTGTCACTTATCAGACGGTCAAACAAAATAAAACGGTAAGCCTCGGGAGCCTCTAAAAGGAAACAAACGCTTTATAATTTGTTCTTTCTGTGAAGTCCTGAATCCTGTCGGCGTAAAGTCCACACGGTTCTGAGTCCCTACACACACCAACACGATTCTTTACTAAAGCCTCCTCAACAAGGTTTGAATTAGAAAAAATACTAATCAAGAAACTGCATCTCTTTAAAAGTCGTCAGAGTGAACTTGTCCTTTAATTTAACGTCGTCTTCCTGTTTTACTGAATATATTCACAACCGTCTCACACACACAACAACAATCAGGTCACGCAAAAAGTCTGATTTGTTCAGAGGATTGTTCTTTTGTCTTCATCCGTGTTCATTCACTAAACTAGCCGTGGCGAAGCCTTCTGAGAAAACCAGTCGCGTGTGTGTCAGAGTGCAGGACCCACTGGGTCACGTTGGCACTGCTGGTTTGTAAATAATGATAAACGTTGGTTTGGGCAGATGAACGTCTGAAACTCTGAGCTCCACCTGAGCTAAAAGCAGCTTGGACGTGTCTCACGGAGGCGTTTACAAAAAGGCTTTTACTGCGTTGTGGAAACTTTTCTTGGACGAAGGTGCTGATATCTGGGACCCAGGGCCTCGCTGATGTTCCTTGAAAGCAGCCAACTGGAGAGGACAGAGGAGATTTAAGCCCAAGGCCAGGAGAGAAGAGCCTGTGGTAGATGAGATATACGACTCAGGACCTGGTAATAAATAAAAGTTAACATTAAAAAAGCAGCATTTAGACGGTTCTTCCAGCCTTCAAGTCCTCACCAAGTCATTCCCAACGCTGCTTTTCTTCTAATCTGACAGAATGATGTTCTCTCAAATGAGGACTGCGTTTGTTTATCCGTTCCAATTTTTCTCATCTATCCCAACTCATAATCAAACAAAGTATACCCAACCCCGCTGCTGTAAGGTGCCATCTCACTGGGCTGGGACTAATTGCTGGAAAGAAATCCTTCAAAGTGGCAGGATAGTTGCTCCAGTCTCACCAAACTCGTGTGGTCAAGTGACAATCGAGCCGTGCGGCTACGTTCTGAGTGAAAATCGCAGCCGAAGTTCTCGATTTGTAAGACTCGAGACGTTCTGGAGACCCCCCCCCCAGCATGAAGCGGTTTGGCTACAGCGAGCTGCAACTGTTGGCGACTGGTCGGGAAACGGAATTCGAAGGAGAAACTTTAACGTAATGACGTTTACGGGGTTTCTCAGCCCTGACGCGTACATATTGATTTTGTAAATTGTCAGCTGTTGTGGGCGTCTCCAGAGCCATGGAGCTCTCCGCTGACTGAAAACACATCCGTGACTCGACAAATAATCTGACAAATCTGCCTATCTTCATACTACATGAAATAAAGTTAGAAATGTGGTGGGTAGCTGCTGCTAACCAGCCTCAAACAGTTGCAGACTAACACAGTGGTTCCCAATCGTGGTCCCTGAGGAACACCATCCTGCACGTTTCCGTTGCTTCTCTGCTCCAACGCACCAGATTCAGTGATTTGATTGGTTCCTCGAGTTCTGCAGAAGCCGGTTAATCCCTCATTCATTCACATCAGGTGTGTCAAAGCAAAGAAACGAGTACAACATGCAATATGGTGTTCCTCGAGGACCAGTGTTGGGAACCAATGATCTACAATAGCTGCTAAAGTAACGGACTTCGGCTGGTTGCTAGTGATCAGCAGAAACAAATAAAGTCGGGGCTAACAGCAACAAGCCAGGGAAGTGTCTCAAGATGGATCCACACAGTTTTGGTCTTTGTGAAAATTAACGATGAAAACAATTAAATAGAGCGTAACACCACCCCCACCCCCCATTTTGTCTTTAAGCTATTTACTTTTCCTAGGAACAAACCAGTCGTGAGACGTTTCTCTAAAAGCTGAACGATTGTCTATAAAACTGGAACGATTTTATGCATATTAGTGACGGTTTCCCACACGAGAATGAGCAAACTGGGCCAGAACCAGTATCGCCAGCGTGCTTCAGAGCATTCGTAGGATTCCCTTCAAAAGCTGTCGGTGAAAAATCAACTGTACTTCATTTTATCTGTGGAACAGCACAAGTCAAATGATGTCCGAAAGACCCAAGAATGAATACTTGTGAGGGAGGTAGACGGCCATGATTGTTTTGCAGCTTTCTTCATCCGTGTTGCAGAAACACCCGACAGCAGTAGGATACTGTTCATGCACAACGTCAACGAGTCCAAATGAACTTTTAGAGGCGTACCGCTCCTGCACCGCAGTCCTGAATACGCTGCCTCCTTGACCCAAACACAAACATCACCAGACAGTCATGTTGGCTCATAAAGATTGTGGATTAACACGATGTTACGACTAAGACAGAACTTTTCAAAGAGTTTCACATCTTCCTTGAAGGTTAACTCTGAAGACCTTTGGCAGAAGTTCTCGTCTCTTCCTGTGCTTAAGATTCAGAGTCTATGATTATCATAGGCTGATTGAACTCCTACAGAGGCTAGAAAGAACAGAAAAAATGTTCAACAGGCATCAACGACCTTCCTCTCACACAGCTAGAGTCTTATTCAAATATTCTTCCGCGCAGCGAGGCCAACGGTGTCCACGAACGTCTTGACGCAGGATCATTTGGTCAGAAGTGAGCGCTTGTAGAAACCCGGAAATAAACTGGATCCAGAGCAGCCCAACGCTGTCCGCTGGAGGCTAGTTGACATAAAGTTCACTTCCTGGAAACAGAGTTCTGGTTTAAAACGAGCCGGGTCAACCATGTGAGGAGAAGATGGGCCTGCTGATGTTGCTGTTGGTTGTCATGGCTGCCAGTTCCCATCTGGAGTAAGGAATAAAAGAGAGCAGATTAGTAAATGATCAACGGTGGGCGATCATGTAATGCAGTGGATTTACATCTACAACTTCTTCAAAATGGCCGCTGCTCATAATTTTGGCTACAACTTGATCGGGCGCAAACTTAATCTTAACTTTAGCGATAACTGCTGGAGTCAGCCGTGTCTGTCTGTTAGCAAAACATCTCGTGAACCAGTGGACACGCAGACAGTCGACGTCTATATCTACATCCGATCAAGCTTTGATATTAAACTTATTCAAGATGGCCGCCACAGTTAACCAGTCTCGGCAAACACAAGGATGTCTGACTCAGAGTCAAGGTTAAATAAAGGTCGAATAACTGAAATTAGGTGTGACTGTAGCTGAGAGTCATCTCCAACACAAAGTCCAGGAGCTAACGGATTGCACGATCCGTCTAAATAAAAACATCTCTTCATAGATTAAAATAAATAAACATCATGTTTAAATCTACTGCAGTGATGCTAATGCTACTCGTGCTAATGCTAACTCAGTTATTGGTGATATTAGTTCAAAGCTAATGCTGTGCTAAATTTAGCTAAGCCTCTGCTACTTTTAGCTTTTAGATAGCCTTTTGTTATTTCCAGCATCTGGAAAGCTTTTTGCTTTTTGCAGGTTTTAGCTGAACATTTTCTATTTTTAGACTTTTAATGGTGGAGTGGTGGTGCAGAGGCTAGAGAAGGCGAGGGGTGAGGGAAGAGGCAGCGTGAGAGCTGGCTTTAGCTTTTTAGCTAGCGCGCCTGTATTGTGCGCCGCTGGTTTAGCGCTACGTCAACATTTATCATTGCCGACGGGGGTGGGGGGTTGTGTGCGCAGTTCAGTTCAGTAGGCGGGGCGCCCTGCTTGTATAATGGTGGGGGTGTGGGGGGACGACACTGAAGCCAGTAGCTAGCATATTTGCTACATTTAGCAAGAATTATGGTGTTTTGCTATTTTCAGCTCAGTTTCAGCTTCTTCAGCAAAGTCATTCACAGAAATCTAATTGTCTTAATATTATTTACGTTTGATCGTTGTGACTTCGTGTTTGTAATGAAGCGTTCGTTCTGCTGCGGTCGTGTGCCACCCCCCCCCAGCTCCTCCGACTCGTCTCCATGCAGAGCCACGCTGTGGCCGAGCGAAGGTCCGGCTGTAACGTGAGCAGCAGCAGCTGACAGCAGGCTCTAGTGCTGACCTGATGACAGGTCAGAGGTCGCGCTGCAGATTGTTATCTCTGGCTCTGGTTTCACGCTCACTCCCTCTCAACGGCTTTGTTCCGTTTTTTTTTCTTCCCGTGTTTAGGAGAGGAGATTGGCGCAGGAGCAGGAGATGCCACTGAAGGGCAAAAAAGAAAGTACCGCAGAGTCCTGTGACCCCTCTCCCCCTGCAGAAGGCTCTCTGAGGGTTAGAAACAAATGCAAACATCGAAGTGGGAGCGTGCAAGGTGGCAGCGACGACGCAGGAGAAAAGAGAGGTTAAGAGCCGTTAGTATCAGGTTTCATGGGCCTAATGTGTTAAATAAATAAATCTAATGAAGCACTTAGTTTACTCCTAATTACCTTAAATTATCATGTATATAATGTATTATAAAACTTTTTAAACTACCGAGTGCATTTCTTTAGCTTAAGAGCTCCTGCTTTATGTGGATTAACCCAAAATGAAAGTAATTTCTTAAAAACATTAGATTTATCACAGTCACAACAAGTTGGACTGGAAACAAAACAACGCAGGTTCTGCATAAATTCATTTAGCTTCATTGGCTCCCTGTCAAAACCAGAACTGAATTCAAAATCTTACTTCTAACCTACAAAGCTCTCAACAACCTAGCTCCATCTTATATTACAGATCTTATTGTTCCATGTTTTCCTAACGGAGCGCTTCGCTCTCAGACTGCAGGTTTACTCGCAGTTCCTAGAGTTTCCAAAAACAGAACAGGAGGCAGATCTTTCAGTTATCAGGCTCCTCTCTTGAGGAAACAACTTCCAATCTCTGTCCGTGAGGCTGACACCTTATCCAGTTTTAAAACTGGGCTTAAGACTTTCCTTTTTGCTAAATCCTATAGTTAGGGTCGGCTTGGGTTTCCTGTGCTGTCCCTTAGTTATGCTGCTATAGGCTTAGACTGCTGGAGGACAAACTGACCACACTATTTCACTACAATACTGTCTTTACTTACTCTGCTCAACCTGTTATGTATTTGTAATTATTTTTTCTATCCTTAACATGTTTTTTGTCTTTCAGATACACCTGGACCTGGACCTATATCTGGACCTGGACCTACCATTCTGTGTTTGTCTGTCTCTCCTTCCTGTCCTCTCAACCAGCCGGTCAAAGCAGATGGCCGCTCGTCCTGAGCCTGGTTCTGCTGGAGGTTTCTTCCTGTTATGACAGAGTTTTTCCTTTCCACTGTTGCCTTTGTGCTTGCTCAGGATGGAAGATTGACAAAATGAAGACTCAACGCGTCTACTGGCTTCCTTCCTTCGATTGATAACTTTACTAATTGGCATTTATAATGTTTGTGAATGTTGTGAACACACACACACACATATATACTCGCATGCATTAAAAATGCCTAATATTGAAAGTTATTAAGCGAAGGAAGCTGCAGATCAGGTTGCAACCTCTCATCCTGAGCAGCAACTGCGCGAGAGAAAACCTGGAAGAAACCTCCAGCAGAACCGGGCTCAGGACAGGAAGCCATCTGCCTTGATTATTTTAGAAAATATTACAGGCGTTTACTGCCCAGATAATCTTTTTCTTTTTACCCGACCTCACAAGTACGCAGACGTTACGCAGACTGAAAACGTCCCAATCGTTTGAATCTTCCTCGCACAAACTTTTATGCTTTCAGATGAGACATAATACGATTACGGGCAGATTGCACATTAAGGACACCACTAGCTAAATGAAGGATAATGAGTCATAATTCACCTTTTTGATAAATAGCCTCATTACTCAGAGTGTGATGACAATGACCAGTGTGATACAAACAGAAAGACCAAAATATGTCATCTTGTGACAAATCGGCACTAATAAGAGAGACGATGCTTCTCTGACCTGATATCATGTGGGAGTCCCGACTGCTCCAGACTGTACTGAATAACAGCTAATTTGCATAATGTCTTCAAATTGGGGCCTGTAAAGAAGAGAGTAAAATGAGTCATATACACTAATTATGCTCATGCTAATAATACCCATTTCCATTGTGGGGACCCAGAATGGCAAGACAGATTTAAGAATTTTTACAAAAAAAGGGTAGAAATAAATCATCCTAATCTGTTTAGTCTTTACCCCAAGAAAAAAAAAAACAACAACAGGATTTACAAACGAGGATAGTGTGATGACGCAAGCATCAAATCATCTTCTTCCAAACCTGCTTTCTAATAATACCTCCAAACTTCCTCTTACTATCCTCGTCACGGTTGCTCTGCCATATGTTCAGTGATAAACAGAGTGAGGGCACGCATGACGGGATGGCACTGGGTCCAGCCGGTCCCTGTGCGGGCCCGCCCACACACCCAAACTGCGACCTGAAAGCATTTCAGGCGTCTGGCCCGGGCAGGCAGGATGTGACTATATTTGGTCGTCCACGAGACGGAAGGGCGGAGGCCGGGCGAGACATGAAGCTGAGGTGTAAAGAGGGCCTAACGAGGGAATGCCAGACAACGTAAGGACAATGACTAATTTTTCAACTGGGCGATAATGTTTTTGCCCATTTCTGTCTGTTGGGAAAGTATTCAATTCAAATATACTTTATTAATCCCAAAGGGAAATTAATTGTTGTTGTAGCTCATCTTGGTTTCATTAGAGTTGTTCTAGATGCTGAGGTCTTTGGGCAGGAAGGATCTCTGGTAGCAGTCCGCCCCACAGCGGATCCGAAGAAACTGGCTACAGATGTCGATCCGTCCACCCAGACCCAGCAGACCTCTCGGTCCTCTTGGGCAGCAGGACTGCCTGAACACCGGGCAGAACTTCTCCCTGAGCGATGGCCATTTCTCCCAGCAGCCTGCCGAGCCTCTTGTTGCTGCAGACTTAACTGCAGGAGCCGGGGGATGATCTTGGTCCTCCCACTGTCACAAGTTGCGTTTCCCACTACTGCTAAGATCTCTGCAGTCAGGCACTCGAGCACTGCCTCCAGGTAGACGGGAATGCATCCACAGCACCTCCTTTTCAACTCATTTGGGATTTGGGCTGTAGTTGAGATGTGAGCTTTTGAGATGTTAATATATATGTATTTATATGTATCTCATGGAGCACAGAATAGATCTGAACTAGAAAGTTGCTGGAAAAACTTTGACGGGGACTGCCACGCTGCTAACAATTGTTGATCTGACAGTAACGTGTCGGGGTGCGCTCTCAGCTACCAATATACCAAGCTGCAGCTGCATAGCTCTAAAAATGGCTGAGTTATAGTATATTTTCCCTTTTCGCTAAGGTGGCCATCTTGGATTTTTGGTTTGGATTCAGTATGTGATGGGAAACGTTCTCAGCTATCACCACACAAAATTTTAGCGCATCTCTAAAGTTAGCTGACTTATAGTATTTTTCCTTTTTAGCTCAGGCGGCCATCTTGACATTTTCATTTGCATTAGGAATGTATGAAAACTTGGTAATTTCAGCTCAATACCTCAAAGAATAATTGAGTTACAGCAGTTTGAAGATGTTGAATTTCGTCAGGCATTTTGAATTGAGAAAAACGGCGTCTTTGCAAATTACATCGCCATGGTAACTAGAAACGCAGATTAAAGTAATGGTGCGCATCACGACGTCGAGCCGGTCATTTTGATATAACATTTGTGGGGCACATGTTGTGGTTCGGGCCAAATTAAAGTTGATGGAAGAGTAAGCGATAAAGTTAAGGAACCCTGTCAGGTGGATAATAATAGGTACTGCCTATTGACTTTTAACGTCACTCCAAATCAAGATGGCTGCCATCTGATCAGCTGACCAACTCCACATAAATGACTATACATCCATTTTAGATATTCTAATGTCAAATTTGGAGTGGTGGTAGCCAAGACTGATCCCAAACACAGTTTGAGCGCTAACAAATTGTGCGAGATCTTTATTTAAATAAAGACACTAAATATTTGGAGTCAACTCTGAGTGTGTAAGCAGATTAGCTCATGAACCACTGAATGGACTTTAATGAAACTCATGAAATGTTAATTAAAAATGTGCATCAAAAAGTAATTTCTGGGCAGTCAATCTAATTCAAAATGGCTGCCGCAGCTGACAGACCTATCAAAACACAAAAAATGGCTATAATTTAGTAGATATATCGATCGGGAATTTGGTGTGGTAGTAGCTTGAGTGTGATACGCAGCACTTGATCTAAGTGCAACTTATTGTGTGAGGTGTTTGTCTAAAACTTTTGTGACAACTCCAGGAGTCCATCTTAGATCAAAAGATCTCATAAATCACTAGACGGATTTCAATTTAACTTTCAGGAAGCAATCGTTGAATTGACGTCAATTTAAATCCAAGAATGCCATCTCTGCTAATTTAATTTTACTTACTTTGAACTCAAATTTGATAAGTTGGTGGCTGAGAGTCATCTCCAACACGTACACTGAGCGTGACATCTCACCATATCATGAGATTAAGCATAAATATGAACAGGTCTCTCTTGAAAATGACTCCTCGTGATTCAATGAGACTACCTGTATAAATAAAGGTTAAATAAATAAATACAAATATCAATATTTTTAAGTCTTGACCAAATTAAGTCTTATATAATTTCCCTCTGGGATTAATAAAGTATTTCTGAATTGAATTGGGCAACAACTCTTTCACTTCTCCACATATGATGATCTTATTTATGGTGGTGGGCAATATTTAAGAAATAATGGAGGTTTGAATTTCTCACTAGTTCTGGATGCAGCTCCTTGTATGACTCATTAGCAAAGATTTGTTCATTTAGAAGAGACCGGTCTCCCAGCACATGAAAAACACAATAAACGTTTTGAGTCGTGCTCAACAGTCCAGGTAGAAAAATCCAACAAAGTTAAGTCAGGTCCTCTGGACGTTTCTTCTTGTTGAAACGTCACATCTTTCATCCAGAAGACTTCATCAGTCCGAGGAGCCACAAACAAACTCAGTCTTGTAAACATAACTGCAAACTCAGAAGGGATGAAAAATGCGACAAACCTGACGCCTGTACTGACCCCCCCCCCCCCCCCCCCCCCCCCCAACGATTTTGTGATTTATTTTTATGTAAATTAAGTATTCTGGTAATACTCCAAGGAGAAAATTAAAGGAGAAGACAACATGCTTCAGATAAAATGGACATTTACTAACATTTCCTAATTTAATTAGACCATAAGCTACATATGAAAGATGGTGTCAACTAAAAACAAACAGCAGCAGCAGCAGCAGCAGCAGCAGCAGCAGCAGCAGCAGCAGCAGCAGCAAGCCATCCAGAGAAACCAAATACAGCAGAGCATTTTACTAACAGCAAAAACTCTTTTTTTTTAAATGTTTTGGTCTGGACACGACTTTCAAGGGTCTGTTTCTGCTGCTTGGCCATGACCATGTGCATCTTTCATGCCCACTGGCGTCAGAAGCATTTGTAATGTGGGGGGACACAGAGGTGGGGGAGGGGGTCTGGGGGTCCTCCCCCAGAAAATTTTCAATAAAGTAGATGCCATTTCCAACAAAGTCCATGCTCAATAATTCAGGTATACAATCCAACAATTTTCAGTCAGGTCATCTGGACGGTTTCTTTTTATTTTGTGCTGAAACGTTTCACCTTCCATCCAGAAGGCCAGATGACCTGACTGAAAAGTGCTAGATGCCATTTCCTGCATTCTGCATACTTGGGCTCTTTCTCCTTCAAGACCATCAGCTGGACTTTTCAAATCTTGGGGCATCATCTTGGCGTACAGGGCAGACAGCTGCATTGTTCGTTAACGTAGCGCTAAGCTAGCTGCGCAATACAGACATAGTGCTCCGTTTCTGTTACGCATCCTAACGTCAAACCCCGCAAAAAACCCCTCTTCGGATCAGCATGATTCATGTAAATGGCATTTTAGTTTGAAACCAGCGAATTTTGCTGAAAAGCGACAAGTTTGCAGGTATGTATAAATAGCACCTTCGCATAGTGGGTCAACCAGTTTGGTGGTGCTCCGATGGTTTCTGGAGTCCTGTCGACTCGTTTGAGGCAGTCATGGCCAAAGTGGTTCAAAGTTGTTGCAGCTCCTCGAACTGATGAAGTCTTTTGAACGAAAGACGAAACGTTTCAACAAAAGTAAACCGTCCAGAGGACCTGATTTAACTTTGTTGGACAATAAACTTTACTTTTCCTTTCCAACTACTGGTTCTTATCCAACTCTCCAGCTTCCGAGCCTCTCAGTGGGCAGTGTGAACTGGTTTGTGAATGAGGGAATGGTGAGCGTCAACCAAGAGTGAAATTCATGGAGCGCAAAGCTAAACACTCAGAAACGGATAACGACAGGGAAACTTACTGAAGTCTAAGATATACAAGTCGGAATGATCCATGAGGTTGAACTCGTCCCCCATTCCTTGCTCTGGGCAGGGGCTGTCAAGAGAACAAAAAACATTTCATTAGGGTTCGAACAAGTCCTTTCACTTCCTGCATTCACGAGCACGATTCAAACTCAAGGTTGCATTAACTGCTCAAACGTCTTTCACGACACTTTCATTGAACGTTGAGTTCTTAAACAGGTTTTTTTTGTCTTACTACAGTTATTTAACCACCAGCTCCTATAATCAGGGAGACAGATTATTCTCTCTGCTGTCCTTATCACCGACTGGCGTGATTTAAGCCCACAGGAAGTGGAGCATCACAGAGAGACGGCAGGCTGGTCAGCGCTGATAGACTCCCAGACCTGAGCAGCCATTGTTATCACTGCGCATCTGTTTCCTGTCCCACCTTGTTAGCTTTTCTATTGCAATTTTAATGCTAAGATAGCGTAGATGCTAAGTCAGCAGCCTGTGATTAATGGGGTTTTTTAAACATGTGGTGTTGCACTCTTTATTAGCCGTGTAAATTAATCGAGCCGCAGCCCCTCTGAATCATACATTCATCCTCTGAATTATTAATAATGCAAGATTATATATGTTTTATAAGAATGTAACAGAACAAACTGGAGTGGAGCCTGAGAGAATATTTTACTTCGGAAAGAATTGCTTTTCAGAAGACAGTCACTACGGTCCTTTACTGGTTTAAAGTCATAACGCCCGAGCACCAAGAGACCGGTAGAAATAAGACGATAAAAGTGATCTTGACTCTTTTACACTGCAAGAGGACATCTTCAGTCAGACGTGCCATCGCTGAGCAGTCAAGTGACTTTGAATATCCATCACAGAGAATTTGCTGCAGCCAAGTTCAGTCTCCAAGTGCAGATTCACTTCATTCTGCAACATAAAGCGAGTCAGTAAAAGGCAAACGTGCAGCTAAACACACTACAAACACCTGACTGAGGTTAATTATATGCATATATTTCTACTTTGCAGGGATTTTCTTTTAAACAACTCTCACATCCATGTCTCCTCTCGTTTCTTGCCGTCTTCATCACATCACCCTCTCGCTGCGTGTTCAGGATGTTGTAAGGGTTTTACGTTGCTAATCTTCCCTAAACAAACAAGGTGACTTAAAGCGGCCAGGAGAGGCGCTGAGCACGAGTGCGGTCATCCCAGGGGGGCCAGATGGGGAAGTCATTACGCCCCCACCCCCCCCTGCCCCCGAGAGGTGACCCTCTCAAGCTTAGGGGATGAGTTTTTAAGAGTACTCCCTTTTTGTATCCATTAAAAAAGTTTATCGTTACTCCAGAGTATTTATCTAAAAACAAACAAAAAGCTCGGTGTTCCTGCACATGTTCCATTTTTAATATTCTTAACTCTACTTTGCAAAGATTGATGCATTTAATGCCATTTTTTTTTAACATCAAAAACTGCAAATTTACCACTAATATATGTGCAGTGGCAAGGTTTTATCATCTGTGTGCTAAAACCACATACGATAAAACATGCAAACCCAAGGAGTAACTTGGGGTTCACAGGTTTGTACAAATACACGAATGTAAAGAGAAACTGGACTGAGCTGCAAACCTCATCATTAGAGAGCAACTTATTTTACTACCAAGTCACAGCCACCAGTTAAACCATTAAAGCTGAGAAGGGTTTTCATGCAGAAACGCAAAAACCAAGTTATTGAAGGCTAAAACTCTTGTTGTGGCAGACACTTCAAAAGTGGATGTCACTGTGACCACCATCATTTTGTATTCAGCAAATATAAAAACACACTCCATTTATTTAGTTTTTCATTTTATAGGAAAATGTAATAAAGTCAGAAACATTGAAGTTTTTTCAAACTAAGTTTTTTCTTTTATCCAGACCTGGAAAATGCTAAAATAAAACTAAAAGACTGCACAGAAAGCCCAAACTAATGTGAGCAGTAATCTGTAACAATAAAAATCACAAACACCTAAGCAGCCTTAAAAATGTCCAACTGTGTGTTTAATATGAGAGTGTGTGTCTCTGCCTTCATCCTGACATCGTGGTTCAGTTCCAGACCCCCCTCCAGCCTCGGGCTCAGGCCTGTCATGGCGGCCGTCTCCATGATCCTCCAACTGCCTGCACGGACTGAACTCTACTCTACAGAACAAGTCGGCTCCGCGGGGAAACCTTGGATGTTCTGTGTCTGCCAAACCTGGTTCTGGAGGGAAGTCATCGTCCGTTGCCACAGTTGTTATCATCATGCAGCTAACGGGACCATGCTGCTAACAGAACCACACTACTAATAGGATTATGGTGCTAACAGGACCACACTGCTAACAGTACCACACTGCTAACAAAACCACTCTGCTAACAGTACCA